GGGAGGGGGGGGGGAGGGTATGGGAGAGGGGAGGGGGGCTGTGGGAAGGGGGAATGGGGGAGAGAGGGGAGAAAGGGTGACTTCCTGTTCCTTGAAGTCTTGGGTGTTTTAGGTGAAGACGGGTGTTTGTGTTCCTTTTCTCGCTGTTTGTTTGATTATTGTTTTCTGTGGTTTCCTTTTTATCTCTCTCTCTCTTATTTTTTTTTTTCTTGTTTGCTTTTCTCTCCTCTCTCTCTCTCTCTCTCTCCTCTCTCTCTCTCTCTCTCTCTCTCTCTCTCTCTCTCTCTCTCTCTCTCTCTCTCTCTCTCTTCTCCCTCCCTCTCTCTCTCCTTCTTAATATTATTATTCCTCTTCTTCCTCCTTCTCTTCCTCTTCTTCCCTTCTTCCTCTTCTTCCTCCTCCTCCTCTCCTCCTCCTCCTCTTCATCTCTTTTTCTCCATCAATTTATCCTCCTTCCCTCTCCATCAAAAAAGGTGAAAAGGACACATAGCAAAGATTCCATCGTGAGAAAGTTGCCGTTGAAGAAGCATTCGATCGTCCTCTTTTTGTGAATCGAATCTCATGTCACTTATTTTATATAAATTCCCTTTATAAAAAAAACTTCCTGTAGTTTTTTGTTCGTCTTTTTTATGATTGTGTTAAGATTCGTGATTGCGTAATTGGCTTTTCCTCTTGTTTGCTTTCTTTTCTTTTCTTTTTGTGTCGTAAATTGCGCTTAGTTTTTTTTCGGAAATTATCGTACCTCTGGTTGCTTGCAGCGCGTTGGCGAAAAGTATCGTACCTTGACGTCAAAGTTATTGTTCTGGGATTGGTTTGTCAGTTCTATTTTCAACGGAAATAAATAGCTTAATGCTCTATATTGCTCGGAAATTCGCGGTATTTTTGCGGAGCTAAATCGCAGGGTTGTTATTGCCATTATTCTCGTTACTCAATTTTCATTCTAGAAAAAGATACAGTAAAGCTCTTCGATCTTTTATTTCTTTATGTATTTTCTTATTCTTTATTTGGGGATATCTGAAGAAATATTTATATAGTCTCAAATTTTATGATATAACGAAGAGATACACATAAATAAAAAAAAAATCACTATTGGGTATTGACGGTGTTCGAAGCTTCGGATCAGATTTGAGTGATTTAAGAGAGCGAGACAGTGTGTCCGAATGGGTGCATTTGTCACCGCCGCTCTCTCATTATGCAGCGAAGGAGCGCCTATTTCCTGACTTACGGGCGGTGGGCGTGAAAGGTCTCGACACGGGGGTTCTTTGCACGCCCTTGTTCCTTATATGGATGGGCGGGCTTGGTCTTGGAAGGGGGTGGGAGAGGGGAGAGGGGGAAGCCAAGAGTGGACTCATATCACCCTCCCTCCCCCCCTATCCCTCCCTTATATGCCATCCCCCTCACTCCCCCTCCCCCTCCCTCCTCTCCCTCCTCCCCCTTCCCCCCCTCCCCTCTCCTCCATCTGTTCCCCTCCCCTTCCCCCCCCTCCCTCCATCCTGTTCCCCTTCCCCTTCCCTCCCCTCCCTCCCTCCTGTTACCTCTTCCCCCCTTCCCTCCCCTCCCCTCCCCTCCCCTCCCCCCTTCCCCTCCCTCCTGCTACCCCCCCCCTTCCCTCCCCTCCCCTTCCCCCCTCACCCGACCCGCGGCCTTTTATCAAATACCACTTAACGAACAGAAATTAGGCCTTTCGACGGATTTCTCAAGTCGCGGATTACGTCACGGATTCGCACAGATTCGCTAATGGGCGTGAGCGGCCATAGGAAAGGGCTGTGCGGGTGGCAGATGGTTCCGAACGCTGCCTGCCTGTCTCTGCCACAAGACGCCATGGCTAGCCGCTTCCTCGTTGTCGCTTTGCCATGGTACTTGTTCTTTATTTCCTTCTTCCTTTTTCTTCGTCTTTTTTTTCTTTTTTTTTTTTCTTCTTCTTTTTTCCCTTCTTATTTTTCTTCTTCTCTTTCCCTTTCTTCTCTTTCTTCTTTTCTTTTCTTTCCCCTTCTTCTTCTCTTTCCCTTCTCCTTCTTTTTTCTCCTTCTATCTTTCTTCGTTTCTCTATTTCTTTCACTGTTTTTATCTTATCTTTGATATATGTTTATCTTAATCTACAAGAAACAGTAATTTCTGCCAATCCCTTCTATCGATTTTTTACTGAAATGATATCGATCAACCTAAAAAAATATGCATTCAATATTGGCGTCGGTCGGTCGGCGGTCCTTCCGGCGTTCCTCTCGTCCACCTTGACCCGCTTCCGCCCTCGGTTCGAGTTCCGGTCGACTGTCTACTGTCTGCTTCCTTTGTGAATATGTCTATCGTCTACGGGTCTTGGGTTTCTGGGGGGTTTTCTGGGTCTCTGGTTCTGGTTTTGTTTGTGTGTGCGTTTCTCTCTCTCTCTCTCTCTCTCTCTCTCTCTCTCTCTCTCTCTCTCTCTCTCTCTCTCTTCTCTCTCTCTCTCTCTCTCTCTCTCTCTCTCTCTCCTCTTTCTCATCTCTCTTTCGCCACACTTGCTAGTTTCATCATCCTAATTATTCCCTAGTTCCATTTTCTCATATCTTACTCCTTCGAACCGCTAACCTTTCGAGAAATGTTGCTTGGCTCGACCCTTGCACGAACCGGTGAAAGCCTGGCTTCGACCCCAAATACTGCTCTTAAAGTCTTGCTCCAAAACCTTAATTAAAGTGTAATGTCTCGAGTTTTGAGGTTGGGAGTTTAAACTAGAGCGATATGGGAGTCGTGGGTATGATGGAGAGGCCTTGGGAGTGTGAAATAAATCGCGATGAAAAAATAGGAGAGAGAAGACTAAAGCGTGACGACACGGATTGAGACACATGCGTTTTCCGCGATTTAGGTTACATCTTTTATTTCGATTTTTCTTGTTGTTCATTCGTTTTTCTTGATGTTGGTTGGTGGTTGTATTGACTTATTTGGAGATTATTTTTGCGAATTGTAATTACAACTGCAAATTCGTTGTTATTTCTGACAGCCGGACAACCAAAATATGCCATTCGCTATAGATTTAACTGCAATTAATCAATTACATGCAAAAGCAACGTCATATCACCACCATATACAACATTTATTCTTCCCAAACCCTCCTTTGCGGTTTGCGTGAAGAAGTATGACAAAGAAAAATTCCCCAAACTTGTTTAACTAAACCGTTCCCTCGTTCACCTTGAACCGCCCACACAACCTCCCATGAAATTGTGAAGGGAATGTTTGGAACGAAACCTCAAAATCAGCTGATAACCGACGTCCCATTCCTATTCCGGTGGTCAGGAGATTTAAAATAGTTATGGTATCGAGGTCGTAAGTTCGTGTGGGTGGGTGATTTCAGACTAAATTGATGTTATTATTAATTGGTCAGTTCTGCAGGAGGATGTAGGTCTATGTAATTATATGTTCTTCTGGTTAGATTTTAATGGTTGTTCAGACGGAACTGGGACGATAACAGTAATTCCTTTTCGAAATAATGCATTTGGTTAAGTTTCCCATTGTTGTTTTCCGAGTTTAATTTAGATTTTTTTTATAAAGTTTATTTCATGAAAGACAGGCGTTTACCATTACGTTAAACAGTACCTTTGCTCTGCTGATAAAAAAAACGTTGAATAGAAAAAACGTCAGATGAAAAACTTGAACAAAACTCATACAAAAACATTTGGCGTCGGATGTATAGAAAAAAAATGAGGTTGGTTTTTATAATGGCATATGGTAGTGGTGGGGCAAACACGCGATATTAGCATAGTAATTTACCTGCGCCTTTCACTTTGTCACATCTAGCCCCCAGACCCATGCTGAAAAAAATGTAAGGTTTTTAGATAGAGAACAAAAAATATAAAACAATTTATTTGAGGATCCCCTTGAAGAAAACGGAAACCAAAAACGAGCAGTATGGGACAGCGCTTCAAAGAAAACAGGAAGCTCGGGGGCGTCGGGACGGGGAGGGGGGACCCAGACAGACCTGAGAGGCTGGACAACGAAGGCAAACAAGTAACCTTTCGCTCAGATGTCAATGGTTGATGCTGTGGGTGCCGGAGTCTCTCTCTCTCCCTCCTTCTCTCGCCTTCGCCTGCCCCTCTGCCGATCTGGAGCAGGAAAAACAAGATTATTAAGGGAGTGTCGGCCGCGTCGCCATGGCGTGGAGAGCGTGTTGCCGACGCGCTCTGTCGAAGCTTCGCAAACACGTGCCCTCCGTCGCCTCGTGCATGGTCGTGTTCCTGTGCGTCCTCGTGGTCGTGCTGGTCGTCCTCCTCACGAAGAGGGACTGGAAGGCGAAGGAACCGCCTCCTCTTCCGCCTTCCCCGTTCCCAAAATGGTGGCATGAGAACGTGTTCAGTAGGATAAGCACGGAGGAGGAGGACGTCAGCGCCTCCTTCACCGTCGTGGAGTCGACCACCGCCTCGATATTCAACCTCGTCGGATTACTGGGCATGGGCGTTGGTACCGATGGTAGCGGCGGCAGGCGGAGGTAGTAGCGGCGATGGGCGGTAGCGGCAAAAACGGTAGTGGTAGCGGTGAAGCGTATCAGTGGTAGCGGTAGCGGTGATGACAGCGGTAGCGGGAGAGGCAAGAGTGCGGAAGCCGGTAGTGCGACCAACTTCACTTGCGTTTTCATAAGTGCGTTTCTCTCTCTCTTTCATACTCTTGTTTCATTATGATCATTATTATCGCCATTATCATCATCACCATCGCCTTCATTACTAATGTTTATCAATTCTGATTTTTAATTTTGTTGTTTTGTCCTAACATTGCATTATAGATAGTATTCTTACCATAAGTATATTGCACTGTATTTTACCAAATGTTGAGGAACAGTTTATTACATAAAAAACAAGAATAACAACAAAAACAGCAACAGTAATAATAGGAAATGAAACAGCAACAGTAATAATAGAAAATACAAACAGCAGCAACAATAATAATTTGAAATCAAATAACAACAACAAAATAAGAACAAGAATAAGAACAACACAAAAAAATCCCAACACACCCAACTCCCCCTTGTACACATG